ATCTGGGGCAGAGAGGCCAGACACCACCATGTCCACTTGGATCCGTGACACCAGAAACCTGTATCAACCTGAGACAGAGAGACCAGGCTCAAGGGAATCCACCTGGGACAGAGAGGTTAGGCACTAAGACTTTCACCAAGAAAGAGATGCCGGGCACCGTGGGCCAAACTGGGATAGAGAGGACGGGCTCCATGGAACACAACTGGGGCGTAGAGGCTGTGCACCAGGGGAAAGAGGCCGCACAGTAGGGGCCCTACATGGGGCATCCAACTGGGGCACCAGGGGACCTACCTGGGACATCCAACTGGAACATCAGGGGCCCCTCTTGGGCTGAGAGGCCGGGCATCAGGGGGACACCTGGGATCCAGAGAAGTCAGGCACCCAGTGTCTACCTGGGACAGAGAGGTTGGGAACCAGGGGACCCATCTGGGATTGACAGAAGCTAGGCACCCAGTGTTACTTGGGACAGAAAAGTTGGGCATCAGGGAGCCAACCTGGGGAAGAAAGGTCTGGCCCCAGGGGGCCAACCTGGGATCCAGAGAAACTAGGTCCCCAGTGTCCACCTCGGACAGAGAAGCTCGGCACCATGGAAACCACCTGGGCCAGAGAGGCTGAGAAATGCGGGTTCACCTGAGGCAGAGAGTCCAGTTACTAGGGGCCCTACTTTGGACAGATAGGCTGGGCACCAGAGGACCCACCTGGGATCCAGGGAAGCAAGGCACCCAGTGTCTACTTGGGACAGAGAGGTTGGACACCAGGGAACCTACCTGAGACAAAGAGTCTCCACACCAGGAGTCTCACCTGCGATCAACACAAGCTAGGCACCGGAGTCCACCTGGGACAGAGAAGCCAGTCACCCAGGAACCCACCTGGGATAGAGAGGCTGGGCACCAGGGGGCCCTCCTTGGACAGAGTCCAGTCATCATGGAGCACAAGTGGGGCAGAGTGGCCTGCCACCCGGGAAACCCTTTGATACAGAGACCAGGTAGAAGGGGGCTCCCCTGGGACAGAGATTCTGGACACATGGGACACACCTTGGGCAGCAAAGCCGTGCATATGGGGGCCCACTTTGGAGTGAGAACCTGGGCACCAGGGCGCCATTAGGGATCCTGAGACCCCCAGGAACCCTGTGTCCACCTGGGATAGAGATGCTGGTCATAGGGGGTTGACCTAGGACAGAGAGACTGGGCACCATGGAACCCACTTTGGTCACCAGAGAAGCAGGGGCCCCACATGGGATCCAGAGAAGCCAGGCAGCACCCAGTGTCCACCTGGGAATGAGAGGCTTGGGACTACGGGGTTCATTTGGGGCAGAGAGGCTGTGCACCAGGAAGCCCATTTAGGATGGATAACCTGGGCAACAGGCCCCCCCCTGGGACAGAGATGCCAAACACTAAGCCGCTCACCTAGGACAGAAAGGCCAGGCACCTTGGGCCCACGGGGTATGCAGAGGTGGGGCACCAGGTAGCCCACTTGGGATATCCAACCTGGACACCTGGGGGCTGACTTGGGGCATAGAGGCCAGGTACCAGGGTGACCACTTGGGATCCAAAGCAGACAGGCACCCAATGTCCACCTGGGATAGAGCCTGGTCACCAGGGAACCCACCTGGGACAGAGAGGTTGGGCACAGGGGGGCCATTGGGTCATACCACTGTGATACCTGGGTGCCGGCCTGGGGCAGAGAGGCCGGGCACCAGGGGACCCACTTGGAATCCAGCGAAACCAGGCACACAGTGTCCACCTGTGAAAGAAAGGCCAGTCATCAGGGAACCCACTTGGGACAGAAAGGCAGGGAACCAAGGTGACCACCTGGGTTGGAGAGGCCGGGCACCAACAAGCCCACCTGGGGAAGAGAGGCTGAGCACAATGGGTCCCACCAGGGTCATACCACTGGGACACCTGCAGGCCGACCTGGGTCACAAAGGCCAAACATCAGGGTGCCCACTTGGGATCCAGAGAAGCCAGGCACGCAGTGTCCACCTGGGATAGAGGTTATGCACCATGGTACCCACTTGGGCAGAGGGATTGGGCACAACGGGGCCTACCTGGGTCATACCACCTGGATACCTGGGGGATGACCTGGGGCAGAGAAGCCGGGCACAAGGGGACCCGCCTAGGATTCAGAGAGCCAGGCACCATGGGGCCAACCTGGGATCCAGGGAAGACAGGCCCCCAGTGTCTACTTGGGACAGAGAGGTTGGACACCAGGGAACCCACCTGGGACAGAGAGTCTCCGCACCAGGGGTCCCACCTGCGATCAACAGAAGCTAGGCACCAGG